GCGATTTTTCGCTGACCAATAATGGAAAATGTGCTTAATTAAGATTGGATTTCATTAGATTACAAATTCCTAATAAATGAACTAGTAAATGCCCACTTTCATGCAAGACTCGTATCTAGTACACCCTTTAAGGTGGCTCCCTACAGGGGCCGGTTGTGTTGTTTACCGGATAGTGATTTTTTCAAGCTTTGTTAAATCAGTCGTTGATTGGTATAACTCGTATTAAAGTTTAGTATTTATAAGTTAAATGCTAAGGCACATCTTTATAGTATATAATCTTTGGTACAACCGACCCCAGTAGTTTAAGTATGGGACATTGGGACTGGTTACGAAATGACGTGTCTTTTCGATTTGAAATTTTATCTTGTCAGCAAAAATTTTATTTGACCGCGCAAGCACAGAAATTATAGGCTACACAGAATGCAGACTTCTTGGTTTTCCCTAGCAGCTGTAATTTGTCATCAATGCTGACGCAGTGCACATTTGAGAGGCATTCACCCCCTGATAATATTCAAAATGGCGGACGTCTAGGGGAATGCCTCTCAAACGCGCACTGGCTAGGACTATGGCGTCAGCCATATTCCCTATATCTAGATATTCCCTATATTTACACCTACAAAATTTCAGAAACTTTGACCGAAGGAAAGTTTAATAAATTCATTTTTAGTCCAAAAATTCATCTTATCTGCTGTTGCTTAGACCACGTTACCATAGTAAGACACAGTTTGCTTCTTTGGAACAATAATAAATGAAGTATAAAGATCCCCCCCCCCTATCACATAAATAGCAAATATTTTGCGTCACATTCTCCACTGTAGGGAGCCACCTAACCATAATTTTTTAATAAACGCTGGAAATCATTAAACATTTCTCCAATTAAAAGCCGCCCTTAAGGCGGATTTCCAGTCCTCGCACGAATCTCCTCGCATGACGAGTGATGCATGAACACTTTCATCCAATCACAATGTTAAACCGTTAATTTTAATTAGAGGAGCTTCGTGTGAGGATTGGAAAACCGCCTTTATACGAGGTGCTAATTATATTGAATCAAACGATTGTGGATAACAGTTACTGTACACTATAAATAAACTATAAAAAGTTTCTTCTGTATTTTTCATTCAGTCAATTTGGTATAAGTTAAATTAACCTATTGAGTGGCAGCACTCTTCCCCTGATGAGTAAAATCGTATGGCGTTAGACAGAGTAAAATAATAAAGTAGGGTTCATCGGGGCGCATTGCCGCATGGGCAGATAGTCTGATTAACCCATTGAGTGGCAGAACTCTCCCTCTGAATAGTAAAATTGTCTGGCATTAGGCAGAATAAAATAATAAAGTAGGGCGCATCTGAGCGCATTGCCACTTGAAGGATTAATGTACATATAATTCAAACTGTTAATGTCATAAATCTAAAACTACTATTTCTAGTCCATTCTTAACATCGCACGCCCTACCTGTCAAAGTCAGAAATGGCGTTGTTGTATTTTCCGTGTGGTCCCGCAAATTTTCTTCTAAGTACCCATCTACAACTAGTAACTGGAAGAATCTAATAGCTTGTCTTTCAGATTTCAGTTTTGCTTTTCCAAGACCATACTGCGGAACCAGGTGGAAATTATTTTTTAGTATATCCTTACTCTTTGAACCCTTCAAGGTAAATGCAGCTTGTTTTAAAGATATTTTTGTAATACTGGTGCTCATCGATGTAATGCAGTCAAAGGCTTGAATACTTATATCTGTGCAATCTTTGGGAACTGACTGTTTTGGATTCTGACAGTTATCACATCCATTTCGACACGGTTTAAGATTAACTGGGTTCTCGCCAAAGTATGTTAACATGAAAACTCTTCGACAGTCACTGAACATGCAATATTTCACAATACTGTCTAGAAGTTTGCTTTGAAGAGACCTTTGATTGGGATCTTCTATCCTGGTTATAAAATTAAGAATTTTTAATCTGTCCTCAAATGTATATATCAAAATGCATGTTGATGGTAAACCATCTCTTCCCGCTCTCCCTGCCTCCTGAAAGTAATCTTCCATTGATTCAGGAATGGTGTGATGGATTACAAACCGTACATTTTGTTTATCAATTCCCATCCCAAAAGCCTTGGTGGCACACATAACTTTAGCTCTACCACTTAACCAGGCAGAGGAGTTCTGTTCCTTTTCCATGTCATCAAGTGCTCCGTCATAGTGGACTGCACTTATACCTCTTGTCTTGAGTAAGAATGCCAGATCTTTTGTATCCCTGTGTGTACTACAATACACAATACCACATTTATCTCTGAAATCATCTATAATTAATTTTACAACATCATCCTTTGATTTCTGATCATTTTGGGGGATCACTTTGAAGAACAGATTGCTTCTTTCAGATGGCATCTTAATAATATCTGGATCTTCCATGTGTAACCTTTCTACAATTACATTTTACGTTCGTACAGTAGCTGTACCTGTGAAAGCATGAAATGGCCTTTTGAATGCCCGTAAGCAGCCAAGCTCTGCATAGGAAGGTCTAAAACTTGAACCCCACGTGTCTATACAATGTGATTCATCAATCACAAATCTGCCAAGAACACCAACTTTGTTCATTTGATCAAAGTGCTTCATTAACCTTTCAGAGGTAGCTGCTTCAGGTGTTAAATAGAAAAGTTTATAGCATGTATCTTTCAGTGTCATTTCATGCAAAACTGACTCCTTCTCTTCATTAGGCATGCTGGACCTTATGTAACAGGCATTTATTCCTCTTTCTCTCAATTTGTTCACCTGATCACTTAGTAATGATAAAAGTGGTGTTATGACAACTGTAACACCAGACATGAGTAAAGCTGGGATTGCATAACATACAGTCTTACCAGACCCGGTTGGCAGCAATACTAGTGAATCTTTACTTGCAATGATAGTTTCAATGGCCTCTCTTTGCATTTGCCTGAAATCACTGTAACCAAATATTTTATGAAGAACATACTTTGCCTCATCTTCTGCATCACCTAATGGTAGTTCGAGTTCATTAATAGGTATTGTACATTCTTGTAAAGGAGTTGTGCGGTTTAGAATATACTTCTGTAAAAAGAAACGAATGCATTAATGCATTAAGTAGTTTGCACAGTACAGTAAAATGTACATGTACGTGTTTTGACACACACAACCAAATGCTGTGATATGTTTTTCTGTCTAAAGCCCTCATAAAACCCCACACTTTTGCAGGTGTGGAAGATGATTTTCAGAGCATGTACATTGATAAATGAGTATACATTATAATTTAATAAGATTCTGCAACTATAATTAAATTTTAATAAGATTCTGAGATTCTGCAACTAATGTAATGCCAAGGAAGTTTGCCACAGTTCCCCTAATTATGGCGACCCCTTTATTTACATAAAAATTATGTTCAAATAATTGACTAACGAAAGAATCTAAGTAGAACAACACAATTACAAAACGGCTAAACTAACAACTAACAACAGTTTAAAACAGCATCAGGTTGTGGAAAAGCATCAGGTTGTAGAACCCTAGAAATGCCATTTCCTGCAATATGGGCATTGAATTGCGAGCTTCAGTTTGACTTCAAAAAGTTTTCCCTTTGCACCCCTGTTGACTAGGGCCAACAGGGGTGTACAACCCTGTGAACCCCCTATAAATCCACCCCTGATACTTGTTAACCAATACAGACAATTAAAAAAATGTGAAAAGCAATTTTTCAAAATAAACTAACCATTTACAAAGCAAATTTACCATCACTTGTCCAGAAAAATATAAAAACTCGCTGTTATGTGAACTTATCTCACAGACTTTGGCTGAAAAGCCACCCAAAAATGGCAGTGTGAGAAAGGCTAATTTAATTCAATTGTTGTTGGTTTCACTTCTAGTGATTCCTGATCCTGATATAACCAGCCGAGCACTGTCATCAATATGTTGTTAATGATTTTATAGAGTATGAATATATCCAGGTACTCGTGCCAGTAAGTTATGGGTAGTAGGTATAGATTATGTAGTCTTGATAGATATGGTATGTTGGTGACAAACCCAAGATTAATAATAAACTTGGTACTTGCCCCTCTCTGCATCTTCTCAATATTTTGAATTAACTGTGTACAGATTGTGGACATAATACGTGGGATGCATACGCAAGATTGCTTCGAACTAGCTTTAAGTACAGATACTTTCTCGCCTTGATGTCAGTCATCTCCAATGTAGACCGCATAATTAATCCAGGCAGATCGTTAGCTTTGGACTTTGCACCTTGCTCACTTGATCTATCCATGTTAATTTGGGACTGATAGTTATACCAAGGTCAGCTATAATAGGCTCTGCCTCCAAATCAGAGCCCATTAAACTGTCTGGTCACTCTGGTGCCATACACAATAGCCTATCAAAGGGAAGATGGCTGTGAAACTCATTAGAATAACAATATAACTCATTATCTATGTTGGCCAACGTTTATTCATAAATCTGGTCCTTCAGGAATTTTTTTTACGCCATAGCAATGTTTTAGGAAAGTCACCTATCCATGACTCGAACAATAGGGGGAAACTTGAAATTGCTATTGGTGGATTTGGTAAAAATACAATACACATGTGATGGTGAAACGACCAGATTTATAAATAACCATTGACTAACATCATAATGAGTTATACTGTTATTCTAATGAGTTTCACAGCCATCTTCCATTCGGTAGGCTATGCCTATGGAAACACTTTGCAATAACCACATACCATTTTTGTATAAATTGCTTCAACAATGATTTCAACTGATCCATCTGACTTCTTGTGGTACCAGGTATTAAACTTTACATTCATATTCACTGACATCACTGAAACTGGATCATCAGGGTAAATAAACTTCCCGGTTAGATCGCGAGACACGGAACCGTATAAATCAATGAATATTGATAGGTTTTTATTCGATCTAGTAAGTAATTATAAGGAATAACAATTGTAAGTATAGAATAACAAATAGTGCCTGATATATACCTGTGCGCTCTCTTCGAGTTATATACAGTATAATTTCAATAAATGAGACTTACTTCTTTGCCAGGTCTTCGCAATCTAGTCTTACTGATACTGAATATACAAATACACATACAAATACAGGTTAGCTTCAACACAGGTTAGCATATCTCCTCTGTCTAACACTATAAGTCTTTGTCTCAATATATCTGAATATAAATGTGCGTCAAATTACGTGTCAATCAGGTTAATCTCATTAGTCATGCATTACTATAATTAGTTAATAATTATCCCGTAAAATATATAAAGTTCTGTCAGCGACACATCCTCCGCCCCCATAAGGACTATGTTCTTATCAATTCTTTTCTTCTGCGTCTTCTGCCGGTTGAATCACTGCGATCTTGGTCCTTGGTCACGGGCCTCGAGTACTCTCCTGACGCCGTTTTTACCTTGATGTTTCTAACCTTACCGTCTTGTCCTGGATACACTTCAACTACGCGTCCGACATTCCACTTTCCTCGTACTGCATTTCCGTCCGCTACGATTACTACATCATCAACCTGTACATTTCGTCTCTCTGTGTTCCATTTTCTTCTTGGCACCAGTAACGGGAATACGTCCCTTGTCCATCATCTCCAGAATGACTCAATGATTTTTTGGATAAACTCGACTCTTTTTCTTGGATTTTTCGTTTCCTGAAATGGGCCTTGTGGTACTTGTGGAGATGCTCTGCCCAATAGCATATCATTCGGACACAGATAGGAACCATCGTCTGGATCATTTGGTGGTCGTCCGATTGGTCTTTGGTTGACAAGGTTTGCCACCTCTAGCAAGCAAGTATACAGTTCGAAAGGAGTCAGTACGTGCTCACCAACTGCTTTCTTTAGGGCTAATTTGCAGCTTTTCACTAATGCCTCTGCACATCCGTTCTGATGTGGTGCCGCCGGGGTTATAAACTTCCACTGTACTCCTCGTTCTGCACAGTAGTCCTTCAGTACCTTCTTGTCAACTCCTTGGATCATTTGGCGAAGGTCGGTTAATGCACCCACAAACTGAGTACCATTGTCGCTCAAAATCTCGGCTGGATATCCACATATGGCAAAGAACCTTCGCAGTGTCTGGATAAACTCCATCGCAGAGCAATCAGTGGCAACTTCCAGATGAACAGCTCTGGTATTTAGGCACGTGAAAATCACCCTGTAATGTTTCGTTGTCTTGTTCCGTCCTACTTTGACTGTTATTGGTCCAAAGTAGTCACATGACGTGTAGTCGAATGGAGGGGAATGGGGCGTCAGTCGGCAATTTGGGAGGTTTGCCATTATCTGCGTTTCGATTTTTGGATTCGCTCCTCGACATGTTACACACTTTGACTTTATGATCTTGGCTAGGTCATGTACCCGCACGATCCAGTACATTCTTCGGATCTTTGCTGCTGTGGTTGCAACGCCAGTGTGACCTTGCAGGGCGCGAAATAACGGCCGGTCAACGGACAATGTCCGGCCAGAATGCGGAATTGTCCGGTCAAATTCTTACCTTGCCGGTCATTTTGACCGATTACTTTTGGTAAAAGAACAAACAACTAATCTTCATTTGAATTAATAATCAAAACAAAGTTGTCAAGCATTATAATTAAGAACCATAACATGTTGTCCAATATCTTGCAGGAAAATAAATGCAATGTACGCCAGTTTTCCCACGCAGTACGTCACAATTAAAGCCCATGGCCATGCTTTTGGCTTAAGAGTTAATTATTAGTTAGCGCAGTGCAAGTTGTTTTATGTGAAGGACTTTTTAATTACTGATTACAGTAAGGCTTTTTGTAATGCTATACGGGAAAATAGTCACATTTTTGGGGATATACTTTACTAGGCTTTGCTTTAAGCTGAATAATATGACCGGCCAGAAATACGGTATGTCCGAGCTAAAATTGAGTTGGCCGGTCACCTTGACCGGCGTCCCTCCAGCCGTTATTTCGCACCCTGCCTTGTTGATGAACTTCTTCTGTAATCAATCTTGAAATGCGGTGACCATAGGGTAGGAGAGCTGGATGCCGTGTTTCGTACGAGACTAACGCATTATCGATTCTTCCACCAACACGGATTATACCTTCTTTATCCTCGAATGGGCTTAGAGTCTTCAGTTCATTGGCTTTCATTCTAACTTGAAGACCCTTTTGGGCTTCTTTTATCCAAAAGATTCGACTCTTTTCAAGCTCTTCCGGTGTCAGCGATTCTTCTCCTACTGCAATGTCGTTGGATGGCTTTATCTTAGCAAGTAAGTTCTTTTTTATCCTTAGTACCCACGCCGTAACTCTAACGAGTCTTCCCCAACGAGAGAACCTTTTGCAATCGATCACGCCCGTCTTAGCTGTTTCTTTTGATGTCACAGTTCCTATTGCTTGTGTCTTCTTGCATTCTCTTTCGACTTCGTCCTGGTCAACGTTCGCGATCTCTATTGGCCATTCTTCTTTCGGTAGGTGCAGGAACGCTGGACCGTTCTTCCACCTCCCTGATAATTCAGCAACCGATAAACCTCGTGATACATCGTCTGCAACATTATGCTCGGTAGGGATGTGTCTCCATTAGACAGGTTGGACGTTGGTCTGTATTTCCCCGACACGACTTGAAACAAATGGTTTGAGCCTTTTTCCTTTACTACGGATCCACGCTAAGGTGATCGTACTGTCGGTGAACAATATACTTTCTTGAAGCGGGATGCGAACTTCTTTCTCTATGGTTTTGCACAACCTGCTGGCTAACACCGCTGCCTGAAGTTCTAGCCGCGGAATAGTCAGTTCCTTCAATGGGGCTACTCGTGATTTAGCTGCAACGAATCTAACATGAACTGATCCAGTGGGGTCTTCGCTTCTGAGATACGCACATGCCCCAAAGGCTCCGCTCGAAGCGTCAGCAAAAACGCACAAGGTTGGTGGTTCACGGGTGACGATTGGACATATGCATCTTTCTAACGATATGTTGTTCAGCTGCTCCATTTCGTCCATGTATGATAGCCACTTTCTTTGAGCATTCGGTGACAGTTCATCATCCCAGTCAAGTCCCTCCTGCCATAACTCTTGCAAACCAATCTTTGCCCTTACCAGATACGGTGCTGCGAAGCCTATCAGGTCATATATTCGGGCGACTTGGCTAAGGATACTTCTCTTAGTGAGCTTTGACTTTTGGGTTATGGTCACATCGACTTTCACTTTGTACTTGAGCACATCATCTTTATTATTCCAAACTACGCCGAGCACTTTTGCGTCTTGTTTACTTTGAGGAACGTTTATCTCTTCTTCATCTTTCTGGTTGCTAGTTTGGTTCAGCTCTTCGTTGGACTGCCATCCCTTTACCTGGAATCTGCCTTTCTCGAGGATGCAATCAATCGCAGTTGTTAACTCTCTGGCTTCTTGGTTCGTGGAAACTGAATCGAGGATGTCATCCATGTATGAATTGTCCCTTATAACTTGTGCTGCTCTCGGACTCTCCGATTCTCCTTCTTCCGCCGTTTTTCGTAACGCAACTTGCGCCATCGCTGGTGCGGGCTTGTCACCAAACGTGAGTACATTCATGACATAAGTGTCCGGTGGTCGATTGATCTCTAAATCCCTCCAAAGGAATCGGTGTACATGTTGGTCTTCCAGGGGGATGAGGACTCTGTGGTACATCTTTGATATGTCAGCAGTGATTGCAACTTTATTCTCTCTAAACCGAAGAATAACTCCGAATAGACCATTTAGAAGATCTGGGCCCTTCTGCCAATAGTCATTGAGTCGATGTCCTTGGTACGTAGAGGATGAATTAAACACGATGCGGACTGGGGTGCTCGTGTTGTCCGGTCTTAATACGGCATGGTGTGAGATGTAGTGGACTGGTCCTTTATAATCTTGTATCTCTTCATCTGACAACTTACGAGAGAAGTCCATTTCTTTCATCTCTACCATCTTACTGTTATACGCAGCAGCTTGCTCAGGAACCGACGTTCCGTTGACTCCAGGCGTTTCATGGCTTGATTCTTATTGTCTGGCAAGTCCCGATGGTCTTTCTTGCATGGATATGGAATCATCCACTGATTTCCAATCTTTTGAGTAGACTCTTCTATCACTCGCTTTTCTTCTCTTTCCATTTGGCTCAGCTTATCTGCATCACAAGTGCAAGGCTTAACTTCCACACCCATGGTTTCGGTCTTCCAAAAGTCCGACAGATCAACCGGTGCTGTATATTTTACATGTAGGACAGTGGTGATTGTGTTGCTTAATTCTCCCGTTGTTGAACCAAATATGACCCATCCCAATGGGGATCTTCTGGCGACTAGGTGGTCGGCTTGCTTTGTTTGACCGGTATGCATGTGTGCATGATCAATCCCGATGAGCAGATCGACATGTCCTTTGCCTCGTCTAACTACTTGGTCTTTTGGTAGGCCAAGTTTCTCAATGATAGTTCCGGTTTGAACACTTTTAACTTCCTCGCTAATACATGGAATACCAATTGCTCTCACAGAATTTTCTTTGGGTCACCGATTCCGCTTACTGGTACTTTGTAAATTTTCGTATGAATTGATTCCTCTTCTCCACTTACTTTGATTATGTTCACTGAGATGTCTCTCCCTTTCAGTCCGAGGCTGTCTGCTGTTTTGCTCCGTATTAAACTTATCTGCGCTCCTGAATCCAGAAGGACGTTCCCACGCTTGTACAACCCGTTTGAACCGCAGATGTTGGCAGCAATCACTGGCAACATGGAATCTTTCTGGCTGGTAACAGATGCTAAAGTGACACCCACTGCGCTCGATTTATGTAGCAAAGGATGATGGCTGAAGGTACACTGGCTTCCGTTCTCAACTTTGTTGCATTGCTTTCACCGACTGCAGTTTGCTTGACGATGATCTCGACCCGCTTTCTTTAAGCAGCTGAAACAAACGTGATTCTGTTTCGCCGCTACGAGTCGCTCTTCAACACTCATTGCTGCAAGCTTCTGACACTGGTCTGGCCAATGACTTGAGTTGTTGCACAGCCAACACTTGTTTCTGCTCTTATCGCCAACCATATCCATCTAAATTAGTTATAAATAATAAAGTATATACAGAGGAAATTGATATAGCAAATCAATTTAACCAACACTTTGCAAATGTTGGCCCACATTTGGCTAGTAAAATTGAAAAAATTAATGAATCCCCAATAAAATATATTCGAAACTGTCCGAGCTCTAGTTTTGTATTATCCCCTGTACGAGCTTCAAAAGTATCTCAATTATTTTCTAATTTAAATACAAACAAGGCTAGCATTAATATTCCCAATACATTAATAAAAATTGTTGCGAAACAACTCTCAATACCTTTCACTTATATCTATAATAAATCATTTGAAACAGGTATTGTACCAGACGTTTTAAAAATATCGAGAATTACTCCTATTTATAAAAATGGTACATGCACGGATCCGTTTAATTATAGACCTATATCTATTTTATCACCCTTCAGCAAAATATTAGAAAAGCTTATGTATGAACAATTAATATCTTTTATTGAAAAATATAAAATTTTGTATGAGTACCAATTTGGATTTAGAAAAAGTTATTCTACAGAACAAGCGATTCTTGAAATAACAGAGAACCTAAAAAATTATTTAGATAATAATCAAATAGTATGCGGCTTATTTCTTGACTTGTCTAAAGCATTCGATACCGTAAATCACGAGATACTTTTGGCAAAAATGGACAAGTATGGTATTCGAGGGGAGCCTTTAACATGGTTTAAGAATTACTTAAGTAATAGGAAACAGTATGTGAAAATAGGCTGTACTGAATCTGAACTACTTGAAATGACCTGTGGGGTACCACAAGGTTCTACACTTGGCCCATTACTCTTCTTACTTTATATTAATGATATGCCTAACTGTGCAAAAAAGTTTTCGTACATTTGCTGATGATACTAACGCCTTTTATTCCTGTAAAAATTTGCTGAACTTGGAAAGTACAATGAATGAACAATTTAAGTTAATACGTAACTATTGTGCAATAAATAAATTATCTATAAATTTTCAGAAGACTCATTATATGGTAATATCTTCAACGAGAAAGAAACTAAACAGCATAAAAATTGATAATATTGAACAAAAAGGTTTTATTAAGTACTTGGGGATTTTTCTGGATGAACATATCAATTGGAAACAACAAATAAAATATGTCAATAATAAAATAGCTAAAAATATTGGAATTATAAATAAACTTCGACACTATTTAGACTTAAAAATGATAAAGCAATTATATTATACACTTATTTATCCTTATTTAACTTATGGAGTAATGAGTTGGGGAAATACATACAAGACTAGTTTAACGAAAATTAGTACCAAACAAAATAAGTGTCTAAGGAATATGTTCTTTGCATATAGCAGGGAGAGTGCTACTCCGTATTATAACCTCATGGAAATACTTAAATTTGAAAACATATTTAAGCTAAAAATTGCAGAGTTTAGTAATAAAATAGTTAATGGAAGATCAACTATTCCGTCTATCTTCTTAGAGTTTGTGAGACCAGCATACCAACAACACAGTTATAATACAAGATTTGCTTCAAAATTAAATTTTGTCAGGTCAAAGGTCAAGACAAATTATGGAAAGCACACTTTTCAATTTGTTGCATCAAAAATATGGGAGTCTATTGACTTGAAAATAAAAAGTTCGTCTTCATTTGAAATCTTTAAGAAAAGATATAAAGCTGCCCTTCTACAAAATCAATGAAAAATGTTATTGAGACTTAAGTCTATATGTGTATGTATATGCATATATGTGTATATGTATGTGTATATGTATGTGTATATGTGTACATATGTATCTGAGTGTCTTTATTTAAGCGCAACCATATAAAATAATCTATATGATCGAACATAGGTAGTGATCAACTCGAAAGTTTATGCTCCTTTGATCACTACGCACCTTCACTTTATCAAATTAACTTGAAATTATTCATTCAAAACATAATTATTTGTAAAATTTTGTATACATTTTCTTTGTTTTGTAAATAGTGCAGTTCCTGAATAAATCTCTAAATCTCCAAACGAAGTTTGCCATCGTTTTATTTTCGCTGCTTGAGTTTGTTACTATATCTGGATTTTCGTACCTATACCTAAGTTTTTGGAGCAAGAAAGAGGAAACCCAAGATACGGGTTGATAGTGGATACACGCGCGGTGTTGCTAGAAAGTGCCTGTGTATTTCACCTTTTCCAAAACGCGAGATAACTGCACAGGACATCCCGTTACTGCAATATGCAGTGTTCTGACTCTAATTTTGGACCTAGTCGCTGCGCGTAAGAATTAGAGACTATACAATCATACAAAGAACATGATCTAGTTCTCATAGCACATAATATCTAGTTAACCAACTGTTTCAGAAGTTATTAGTTTGCAGTTTTGGAAAACAACTTAAGAGCGGGTCGACACATAGATAATATATTTTAATTATACACTAAACAGGTGACCCAAGTGCTAAGCACGACTTTGCCACAAAGTAAAGCATATATGAAAATCGTGTGTGAAACTAAAACTATCGTGGTTAAAAAAAACTATAATGGCATAACTTTATTTATACTGCTTGATAGCACTGTCAGTTCTAAACTGTTTAATAGTACTGTTCTCCCTAGAGGTCGATGTTACAATTATAGTCATTTCATGTTGGTTCAGTATATTGTTAATACCAGAGGAAACCTACATCATTTTAATTTTGTATAAATACTTGCAAGCTCTATCAGTTCTAAACTGTTACAGTTAGGACCATTCATTATTGCTCAATTGCAGTTTATAAAGCAACTTGAGCCAAACTAACTTAATGTATGCCAATAAAGAACAAATTTTGACAAAGAGGCGGTCCAAGTTTCTTCTCAAGTAATTGCACCTTTAAAGACCATGTAAAGTCCGTTCTGCGCAGGCCTACATTCCAATGGTCGGGACCCTACCATCCCTACCATTCGAATGTTATTAATATTTCGCACCTTCCGAACTTTCTTCAATTGAATCTCTAGTCTGTATTCATTTACTAGGATAGCGAACCAGAAGAGTGTTAAAAATTCAGTATAATATGTATCTAATCATATTTACAACTATAGCACTGAGTTCAAAATGTAAACAAAGCGTTTGTTTACATTACGGACTTTACATGGCCTTTAACCACGCTCTTCATAATATTATTCTACATCAGTTCTAAACTGTTTCTCCTGATCCATCATTGGTGCACCAATAAAGAGCACGTGTTAATGGAATAATGGTGCAGTTTTACTAAATTCTCAGAAAGTACTCGGAGAAATTTTGCAACCTTTGAAATTTTCATTTTAAAATGAAAGAGTGTTTCAGTTTATTACAGGGAGCTGCCATCTGGCAATTGCATACATGTTTTACTGTTGTCACATTTTGTCTAAATATTTGTTTTCTTTACTCGTTCATCCTTCTAAGCCAATTCTATTTTCCTTCTTTTTTCGTTTCCCAACTATTTTCTACTTTGTTTAGTATCGTCAGACTAGGTTTGGACTCACTCTTCGACATATTTTCATGCCTTTAATAACTTTCATTCCCTCGGTGCGTAAAATCTTGTTTTTCCAGTAAAAGATTAAGCAGTTAAATGTTGAATTCGTTGAGGCTATGGTTGAAGCCCAGAGTCCGGCAAGGAATACGTTGTCCAAAGTATATTCTTTTGCTGTCAAGGTTATGGTTAGTCCAATGTATACGAACACTGGAATGTTTAGCACCACAAAACAAGCGACTGCTAGCAAGCAACTAGATATATTCTTCAAAGAAAACGTCTTTTTCATCTCGGGCGATATTCTGTTATTTCTACGAATTTTCCTGGCGACTGCGAACAATTTGTAGTTGATGAACAACATTGGGGGAATGATAATAATAATAAATATTAGAAGAGCAACTTGAATGGGAATAACACAGTCGTTAAAAGATAGCACCACCAGGGTTACGTCCACGGTAATTAGTATTGCAAGAAGAGTTAAAAGTCTTCCCTTCGTTACCGATGTTCGATGAAAGACAGTATAATATGTCGCCAAATATCGATCAAAATTCATCACCAAAAGAGCTAGCAAGGAAAAGCCAAGGAAAACAGTTGAGAACCTTCCCGAAATAATCACCCAATCAGTGACTACATCCAACTTTCCAGTCAAGAATAACATGGCATTTAGAGCCATCAGTGGATGACTAGTTAAAACCGCAAGCAAATCGCAACAGGACAAAACCATTGTCGTGAAATGGCATAATTTCTTTCGAAGTTGCACAGACCTCTGGAAGCTGAGTATAACCAAGGAATTTAAACATATTCCTGAGAAAAAGAACAATACGTTCACAGCAAATATGAATATCAGGCTGATGAAATGAAAGAACTCCATCGTGCGTTTTCTGAATTGTCCTCCTCTTCTGAAGAATTGAACATAACAAATATAGACAGCAGATGATATATAGTTAGAATGACAACGCTCAAGTGCACATATGGTATAATT